GGCCTCGCAGCTGCCGAGGGGCCGGGAGCGGAGCCGGGCCCGTCGGGGCCAACTCATTTCCCCGTCGCGCAGGGAGGGGGCCTTTCCCTGGGTTTGGCCGCCCGCCGCGCCTCCCCGCGTGCCCCGGAGCCCCTGCGGTTCCCCGACGTCCCGGGCGCCGCGATACCTACCTCTTCCCCTCCGAGGACCTAGGAAGCCACACTTCTCGAGAGGCCGGCATCTGCCCAGATGTCAGAGGGCTCCACAAAGAGGAAAGAAACGCCGCGGGGACGTGCGGCCACCAACCCCAGCTGGACGCTCCACCCTGATCTTGGGGTATTGTCACAGGAAATGCAGCCGTTTATGAGGATCCCTCTGCGAACCACAGAAGAGAGGTGATTGCTCTTATCTTGTAGATAAAAGAAGTTTGCTGCCCGGCTTGGTTCGGTGACTTGTGTCGTGAGGAGTAAGGATGGGCGCTAATTCCAAATTCTTTCTTCGTGTTGCATCTTGCTCGGGGCCGGGAGGCTCGCTTGCCTCCTGGAGAATAGGGCTGGGAATAGGAGGGTGGGGACACTGAGGGAGAGGTACTTATGCTCCAGGCTGTCCCTAGGTTGGGCCGTGGAGGGCTGGCAGCTTCTCTTCGCTGGAAGTCCTAATCCCTGTTGGGAAGTACTCTCCTCACAGCCTGGCGACACTGGGTTCTGATAGGACTGTTCCCCTCATCTTTTCAGGCCTAGGGTGTTAAAGACAGCTCCCCCTTACCAGAGCCCAGGGATGTGCGGTCCCTGCGAGCCAGCACCTTGGCAAGTAGCCCTTGTATCACACTCGACTTAGTGGAAGGACACGATGCCTTTCCTGCCAGGTCCCTGGCATAAGATGCACTGGAGCGGCATTGCCCTTCCTCATCTGGTCAAGTTGCACAACCCTGTGAAGCCTCAGCATCACTGTCCATCAGTGGCCCTCCCTTGGTCCCCTCCTACAAATACCTTCAGCCCCTCTTTTCCTCCGTTATACTTTCCTAGTGCTGGAAATCCTCCAGGCCGATTCTGCTTTCAACTTTCCTGGCCTGAGCTGCTGAGTTAATGGAGGGAAACCTGTGGTAGAATGACTGGCCTAGCTTTAATTTCCCACCATAAGCTTTCTATGGGCACATAAAGGTGCCCTGCAAACCTCCTAAGTGTCTCCAGGAGGATGCTTTCCCAGTCTCTGAAACAAGTGTTTCTCAAAGCTTCTTTGAGAACATAGGCGCTGACAGGGATTGTCTACACCTTCCACCATCAAATCTTCATACCAACTGGCTCACAACAGCCCTAGTTCCTCATCACAATGGAAGAAGC